CTTTATTTTTAATCTAGTCCTACACTAAGTAACTATCGTGGACACTCGTCCCAGCCCAGTGTTTGTACAGAAATAACAGTTGAAATCAATAAATACGAATAACACACATTCTAAAACCTGATTTGATTATCTTAAACCTGCAGACTAGGCACGATTTAAAGTACTGAAGTAAGTGGATAACAAACCAAGCAACCTACGAAGTTGCCATAATGGGGTTTAAGAAAAATAGCAATAATCTCAATATAGTGACAACAGTGACAAAAGTAGTGACAAAATGACAATAACCATCTGAGTCCAGTGACTTATAGAGGACCTGAATTTGGTCCCCACGGGTAGTCGATTCTTTATCATCTCCGGGAAGTCCTCCACAGAGAGTCCCAGTAAACCCCTAGATTTTCCGTATAGTGCCCTTCGTGAATGGTTGCGATACATTGCTTCAAGATGGAGATTTAAGCTTGTAGTGCGAAGCTTTTTGCTTTTAGATCTCGAATGGTCTCTGAAGACAGCGAACGGCATGGAGCTTAGAAAACGGACGGTGTTTGGCCATCAATGTCTACATTCTCGTCGATTTTCTTGAAATCAGCTTATTTACTTTTGGTTTGGAAGAGACGAGTGAAGTATGTTGGAAGCGGTAAGAAAGTTCTTACAGAAGAATTTGGAATGGAAATGGACGGGGCAGGATTATTATTATTTTTTTTTTGGACAAGTTAGCGCTCAGATGTTACGGAGAGGGACAATTTGGATTATAGGTGTCAGAAAGGGGACCTTTTTGAAAGAGTGAAATTGTGCTTATTGGTTGGTACGGGAGAATCTTATTTGATTCACTGAAATTGCTTGTGAGTGTAGTGAGACTCGTTCGTTTCTAGTAGCGTATAATAGAGATAGAGCGACGGAAGTCAGCTGCTGGAGTAAATCATGACGTGGCTGTTTAGCAGAAATATCACTACACTAAAGATGAATTTTTTTTTGTTAGGGTGCTATTGCTGATTGAGCTTTTTGAAGCATTTTAGTGATATTCTGCTGACCTCTGTTGATTTAGAAACAATTGTGATGGACAAAGAAGAATTGTTTTTAAGTCTTTTTCATATTTTAGCTGTTTTACGAGAAACTAAAGTTTTTGGCTCCCTGATAGAGAAGTGGCTTGCGCATAATGCGTTTTTAGGTACTGGTCAGCTTAAGAATTTTCTTTTTTCCTTTGTTGATTGTCTCGCAGAAGTGGCATTAGGACTGTACGGATTCAGTAGTTTTTTGGCTCTGTCAATTACGAGCTTCAAAGAAAGCCTTCGAGTTGACGTAAAATGTTTAAAATTGTAACTAGATGCTGCAAAAATAGTCTTCTGAATCAAGCAGCTCTTTCAGAAAAAAATAAAATATGCAGGAGCACTTGTTATGTCGTATAAGCTTATTTACTAGCTCCGTAATACCTTCAATATGAAAGAAAAGACGAGAAAAAAGCCTTCTATCTTGATTAACAGAATGTAAATTTACACAAATGATTTTATGCGAAGGATGGCTGGATCAAAATTCACCCAGGCCTTAACGAACAGTTATACCAAATTATACAAAGCAACGAACTTCAACTCAGAGAACATCTTATTCCCTATGGGCACGTTTTATAAGGAATCAAATACAAAGTCAGAAACAAGTTCAAATAAAAGGGGGCATTAGCTTGAAAGAGGGGAATTTGACAACTATCATTCTGAAAAAACTTAACCTCGTCTTTTCATCTTTGCCATTTATAGCTAAGTAGATGTCAATGACCAGCCGTCTGTCCTCCAAAAGGTTTCCCTTGGGAGCAGATCATCGGCCGCGGGTATAGTGCTTGTGACTTTTCGCGTGCCGTCACGACATTCCCAATGAGGCGGGCGAACAAGCGCATCTGGCTTACTTTGGGAAACGGACGAAATTACTAAGAAAAATTATGATACAATCGATGAAATTATATAAAGATAACGTTCAACCTCAAACATAAAACAAAACTAGCATGATAAAACTCACAATTATTGAAAAATTTAAGATTGCATCCGATTCTTTTTACCTCTTTGGTGGTTTGCCCGTCTTCGGGTCTGTTCGCATTTTGAGACAAAGTTTTTGCCGTTTTGCCTCATTTGAATTAAAAAAATGAAAAAGGGTAAAAAAGGGAAGATAAAAGAAAAAGAAATAAAGTAATAAGGAAAAGAATAAAAGAAATGGGAAAAAAGGATGACACAGAAATTGTAATAAAAGCCTGGAGTTTTTTTGAGATATTTACAGAGAAATCTTCTCCAACTTATCTTGCTTACTTGTTTCTAACACACTGTTGTCTCTTTGCATAAAACTCACCAATATGTACAAGAATAGTGAAATCTGTGAAGTCGTTGTTAAGTGAAGATCAGTTGTAAAAATATCCGAAGTGACTTTTTGTAGTGAAGTTTTAATTTTTTTCTACAGTAACTTATTTAAGAGTAGAGTTCTTATTTAGGTTCTAACAAATCGTTTGATTCCATGCTTACTTCACTTATAATTTTATTTTATAATCACCTTTAACCGAATGTCTCTCTAACTCGTAACTCTGAAACAGAATTCTTTCATCCTGATTTGAGAAGACTACATCTCTAAAGTCGATTCAATTCTCAATTGCTTAAAACCTCTTTTATCGATTCTGAATGCTTAGTAGAACCGAACGAT